TGGTCGTCTCAGTGTTAAGCAGCAGGTTGTTCGCGTCGCACCACTCAGCCAGACGATCCACCTCCTCCCTGTAGGCAGCCTATTCTTCTTCAACATAGTCTGAACTCTTCTCCAGGCTTCTTGACGGACATTCAAAGCTCTTCTTTGGCCGCCTGTCTCTCTCAAGTTGATACCACACTGCTTTAATGATGTTGCCGTGCTATGACTGATAGTGTTTCATTGTGTTTTTTTGTCCAGCTATGTTTTTACTGCATTGGCAGTGTGCTAAAAGGTGAAGTCACTGCCAATAATGTTTAACATATTGCATTGTGTTTGAAAATCTGGTGGTATTTTCATTTTTACCTCAAGTCTTCTGTATGTATGATGACGATTTGGACCTATCTCTCCATCAGACCTGTTTCCACTGATTTTCAGTCCAGTTCTTGTATAATTTGTCCTTAAGAGTGGCTTCTTGACAGCCACACTTCCACTGAGACCGCTGGTGAGGCTTCATTGTAGAATAGATGGATCAGCTGGAGGTCCAGATACATCTTTCAGGTCCTGTGTCAGGTTTTGCTGGCCTTTTTTCCTGTTTCTTAAAGACTTGACTTTCAGCTATCTGCAAATTCTTTTGTTCTCTACTTGTCAAGTTTTCAGGTAATCACTCTTAAGAATCACTTTGTAGATGAAAAAATATTTTTCGTCAAATATTTTATCAAAGAGCAACAACTTTATTGACTGACTAATGCGTTTCGAAACGTGCTGGTCAGTCAATAAAGTTGTTCCTCTTACATATTAAGTGTTGCTGGAGTTCCTGCGTTGTGAGTTTTTCATCCTGTCCATGCACCTTGGAAGTAGGTGAAATTGTTCCAGAAATTTCTGCTGTCAAATATTTTATGCCAAACCATTTTATGTTGTGTTTCATTGTATTCATTTTTCCTGGATTCAGCTTCTAGTGACAAAAGATACTATTTAAAATTGAATCTTTTCAAAGTTGTCTTTTATGTTTAGACACAACACTGGCACGTCCCAGGAGTTAATGCTTTTTTCATGCTTGAATGATTCACAGACCAGTGATAAGTAGCTCAACAAACAAACTCAGCAAAGCAGCAATTTCAAAATCCTACATTGTCTTGTTTCCAGGTAATTGCATTTACAAGATTTCCAGAGAACTTGACCTCTGACCTTGAGGTCAAGATCACTGAGATTCAAAGTCGTCTGAGAGTCTTAGCAGCTACACCTATGGTATAAATTTGAAGCTCCTACATTGCCTTATCTTGAGTTATCGCCTTCACAGACTTGGGTGTCGTTGCTGCCTGCCTGGCGGGGTGATGACAATACCCAATCAGCCTTTTATGACTAAGGAGTAAAAGTGAAAAATTTGGCTGCTTGGAAGTAAAATATTTTAAAAATGAGCGGTGGCTCAAGACTTTTGCACAATACTTCAGTTTGTACATTATGTGACCAAAAAATGTTCACTTTTCTGCTTGTTCAGCTTAGTCTGCTCAGTATCTGTTTGACCGCCTTTTTCTAGTCTGCTTTCTACTTTCGCACATTGAAAGAGCACCCGCAGTCGTACTTCTCCTTTCACAATTTCCCAAATGCACAGAAATGACACAACAGATAATCTGAGTGAAAAGGATATTGAGTAAAACTCTGTTAGCTGAAACCACGTCATGTATGTGCATGCTATGTAACATTGACACACAATTGAGATTTCCATGATGGACGGAAACGTTCTTCCATGTAACTGACGTGTAGCAGATTTCTAGGAGACAGTGTGACAGAAGAAAATTACCAAGATTTCAGCACACATTACTCTGCAAAATGTTACTGGGTCTTCATAAATCCACTATTATAAACACATTCTGACTAAACTCATAACACAAACACTTAATAGTAAAAGCTCTTGAGTGATTACTCACAGCTTTGGCTGAAAAAGGGATGTGAATCTTGGATAATATTCAAGTTAGGAGTATGAGATTGGAAGTGTGGATTGTAGAAGTTTCCGCATCCCTATAAATAAAGGCACATTACAGAGCCGTGAAAAAGTCCTGATTTGTTATTATTTTGTATATTTGTCACACTTGCATGTTTCAGATCATCAAACAAATTTTAACGTCAGACAAAATGCAGGTTTTAAATGAAGATTTCATGTTCATTAATCCTCATTAAACAGATTGTCCGAATAATTCAGGGCTACTTCTGCTCTTCCTAAGATCTGGTAGAAAATCAGATCAACAACACGACATGTTGTCCTGCAAAAAGGAGAATGAGAACTAGCTCACAGAAATGTTTGGGTATTATTATATTATACATAGTCTTTGTTAACTTTACCACAATATAAAACACTTTGCCATTGCTACGTGTCTGAAGCCAGAGATCAATTGTATTGTTCCACAATCAGATAATATGTAAGCTGAACTTTTTGGCAGGCGTGCACAGCGCTGTGTTTGGAGGGAAAAAGGGAAAATCCACTGCAAAGCAAAGCCAAGGCCTCAGTCCAGACATGTTTGAAGCTCTAAAACTCTTCCATGCAGACATAAAAGACATGCATGCTCTTGTGTGCTCTGCAAGAATTTGGTCATAAATGAAGCGACACAGATGCAGGAGAAAGTTTTCTTAATATCACAGCTGTATTTTTATGTAATTCTATAATGAGAGAGGCCGCACCCTGAAGTAGAATACGTAAACGTAAGTAAACTGATTAGACAGTTATTTAACTGAGGTGAAGTTTGCACTCAGTGCTGGGGATATTAATTATTATGGATTAAAGTAGTTAGTTTGGTTGTAACAGATGCAGTTAATGTGCTTTGGGTGGTTTTTGCTGCTGTCTTAACTGAAGATATGTTTAAAAATAAAAGTCAAAACACAGTTTATAGTCTTTAGAGTCGTATATTATTTGTAGCAGACTATCTTTACCACTGTACACCTTACCTTAAATGTAACTTTATTTCAGGTTAGGTTGGTATGAGCTAGTAAGTGGGATATGGGAAAAAAGGGACCATAAGTGATCATATATACAGTAAGGGCGACAGATTTGGATTATGTCTGAGTTTAGGGCTGTTTTTTACCTCAAATTCTGGAGTCGTTGAATGAATCGTGAATAAAAAAAATTACAAAAAGCATTTTACAGGAGAAAATCAGAACCATTGTCCTTGACTTGAAACTTAGAAAGGTTAAGTGGTGCAAGATAAACAAACAGAATCACTTAAAAAGATGTAAATTCATGTTTTCAAATGGTCCTTAAGGCAACTGAAAAAGGCTGTTCCATCAAGATTTGATGCAGAAATGCTGCCAACCCGAAATTATTTTGTAGGATGGTGCAAAATTCCTCTATACACACACACACACACACACACACACACACACACACACACACACACACACACAACCTCATGAGTTTCAAGCAGCTTCAGACATTTCTCAGAGCCTCTGATAAGATCAACCGCACAGCAATTCTTACATTTTGTTTTTGCTCTTCTTTACTTCGGTGTTTCTCAATCAACTACAGGTAAGAAGAACAAGCTCCGTGTATACTACCTGTCCTGGCTGAGGAATAAGATTCTGCATAATGATCCAGAGGTTGAGAAGAAACAAGGCTGGACAACTGTAGGAGACTTGGAGGGATGCGTCCACTACAAAGTTGGTACGTTTATCACAAAAGGACATGTTGCATTTAAGAGTTTGGGAAGATTTCACTGTATTTATGAGCATAAATACTCATAACAGACTACCAAGGTGGTAAGTTTGAGATAAGGGCCTTCCACAGT